GACACAGCTCCCATCTCATTCAACACCAGAGACTTCATAATGGGGAGAAACCATATAAATGTAATGAATGTGCAAAAGCTTTCAGTGAGAGTTACAAACTCTATGACCACCAGAGAACCCATACTGGGGAGAAACCTTATGAATGCAATGAGTGTGGAGCGGCCTTTACTCGGAATAAAAATCTTCTCCGACATCAGGTAATTCATACTGGTAAGAAACCCTACAAGTGTAATGAATGTGGGAAAGCTTTCTGTTCTAATAGAAATCTTATTGACCATCAGAGAATTCACACTGGGGAGAAGCCTTATGAGTGTAGTGAGTGTGGCAAATCCTTCAGTCGGAATAAAAGTCTTATTCGACATCAGCAACTCCACACTGAGGAAAGACCATACAAATGCAGGGAGTGTGGGAAAGCCTTCAATCAGAACTCTCAACTTGTTGACCATGAGCGAATTCACACTGGGGAAAAACCTTTTGAATGTAATGAGTGTGGTAAGGCATTCAGCCTGAGTAAATGTCTTATTAGACATGAGAGACTTCACACAGGTGAAAAGCCCTATCAGTGCACTGAGTGTGGAAAATCCTTTAATCAAAACTCATACCTCATTATACACCAGAGAATTCACACTGGGGAGAAACCTTATGAATGTAATGAATGTGGGAAAGCCTTCAGTCATAATTCTAGCCTTATGGTACACCAAAGAACCCATACTGGGGAGAAACCCTATAAATGCAATGACTGTGGGAAAGCCTTTAGTGACAGCTCACAGCTTACTGTGCACCAGAGAGTTCACACTGGGGAGAAACCCTATGAATGTATTGAGTGTGGGAAAGCCTTCAGTCAGCGTTCCACTTTTAATCATCACCAGCGAACTCACACTATGAAGAAGCTCTCAGGTCTGGCTCAATCAGTTTCATAAGGTGTAAGTTTCCAAGACAGAGGGCAAGGAACATGGAATTATGCTTTCTTTATAATAAGGACGTTTGCTCTGATTCTTTCTTGGGACCACTAATCAAAATGGGCCATTCCCTACATGCTCTCTGTTAGCTCCTGAAGGCAGAGATTGGGAGGAATTGTGCATTCCTTTCCCACTATTGGGGAAGTATAGATGCACATTTTCTGTACTCGTAGGGTTTTTTTTCTCATTCTCATTTTCTGTCTAAACATCTATGTTATTTCTTTGTCATGTGTCCTGTAATCAGAGTGTGTGCTTCTCAGGGACAGAGGTGATGTATATCTTCCTTATCCTATTCCACATCCTTCATTTCGCTGTTTGCATAAAGTAATTCTCCAAGACTGATTTGCTCTTCCTCCCTCTCTCTTTTTAAAAAATTTTTATGAGTTTTATTTGAGCCAATCTGACAACATGATGGAAGCGGTATCTCCAATGTTCTCCTCTTTTTCTCTTTAGTATGGCTCTTTTAAAATTCATCACTTGTTAAATAGATAATGTTTAATAACTCCAATTGAACCATTTTTTAAAATATGTTTTTTATTGATTTTTAGAACAAGAGGGAGAGGGAGAGAGAGAAACATTAATGTGACAGAGGGGGGATCAAACCCGCAACCTAGGGATGTGCTCCGATTGGGAATCAAACTTGTTTGGTGCACAGGGCTGACAGGCAACCAATTGAGCCAAACCAGCCAAGGTGAACCATTCATAAAGTTGCCATAAACTTTCCCCCCACCACTGGGCCAAAATTTTAAAAGTTGAATGTCATAGGATATCATGCACAAAAAGCCTCATTCATTTATTCTACACATACCCCTGGGATTCTTTTTTTTTTTTTTTTAATTTTGTAAAAGTTTGAGCCAATATTTTTAGGACTGCCTGGAACCCCTTGGAGTCTTGCTACTGTTATCTCAGCCTCAGAGGACTAATGGATTTGAGTTGAATGTGCCCGTGTGTGTGTGTGTGTATCTAAGTTTTGGATTTGGCAATCATGTCCTACTGATAATGTAATTTTCACTGCACACTGACTCCAGTTCTGAACTAGCTGACTCCACCCTGATACCTAAGTAAACAAGAACTGTCTCAAAATTTACTGTTTTAAAAGTCCAATCTAAGATTCCTTATGAAAAGTTGCAGCAAAGCATGCTTTTAAAAAGCCTATATGGGCAATCACTATTCTTGTTGCACCTATTTAAATAAGGCAAGTATTACAAGAATAGACATATTTTGCTAACAAATTACTCTTAGTGTAATTATCTTTGCTAAACATTGGAGTAAATGTAAAGAGAATAATTTTATTTCAGTAAGAAACTAGAACATACCCTTGGGAATATCAGAATGTAGTCCAAATTGTGGTGTTGGAGGTTTTGTTATCTACCTGTAAGCTCGACTGGATCCTGAATTTTATAGGGTACTTAATCTGGCTAAAACTCTTCAAATTTATCTTTTCAACTTTCTCCTACTCTTCTGAACTGGAATCATTAAGAAGAAAGATTGCTCAGCTGGCTCAGCGGTTAAGCATCAGTCTAGGATCCAGGAGATCACAGTTCGATTCCCGTTCAGGGCACATGCCCGGGTTGCGAGCTCTATCCCCAGTCGGGGCGTGCAGGAGGCAGCCAGTCAATGACTCTCTCATCGATGTTTCTGTCTCTCTCTCTCCCTCTCCCTTCCTCTCTCTGAAATCAATAAAGATATTTTTTTTTTTTAAAAAAAGATTGCCCATGAACCTCATTGAAAGCGACCATACTGGATCTCCCTCACTACTTAGAAAACAGCCAAACTTCAGGGCCTTGAACCTTAGGTTTACATCTTCTGATTAAAAAGGGCTGCTGCAGCCTCTTGGACCTGCACACCATCTGGGGATATAAAATTAAAACAGATGAGGGAGGTTCCTCCCCAGAAGCAGAGGACATCTTGAAGTGGACAGCTCTTCCAAGATCACTAACCAAGATCTTCATCTCCAGTATGAAATCTTTTATCATTTTGTCTTTTTGTTACTTGCCTTTTCTCCCTGTTAGTGCATGGGAAACAGTACTCCTTACCTCTGACGCCTATTGCTGAATCTTCTGCCAAGGCCATAGCTGCACAACAGAAGTCCCGAGGCTTTCTTGCTAAGGTGATTTTAGATAATTGCTTTAAATTGCTCATTGGCTGAACAAGGAGTAGTCTGTGCCATAGCAAGTATCTCCTGCTGTATTTGGATCCACCTCTCTGGTACTATGTAACAAATAAAAGAGATTAACAAGCCAGTTAGCTAAAACAGGTTGATGCCTCTTCAGGTACATTCTTTATTTGATTCACACTGGTTTGACCCATGGGGACCTTGGCTAAGGAGGTGCATACTTCAGTCTCTTGGTATGAAGTGTGGATGGGGAGGGTAATACCTCCTCGTAGCCATCACTAGTCTCCCTGGTGTGCTGTGTCCTCTTAAGGGTCTTAAATACATGTTTGCAGACATCAGCACTATATCAAGTGGTCTCACTGTGCGTGGAGAAAGAGAAACAAAATGACCCATGAAATGAATGGTAGAAACAAGTCTTCCACAAATCTGGTAAAACACATTTCATGAGTTTCACAGTGGGACAAGAATAGCTTAAACGAGATGGTGACTAAGAGTGATACTAATACCAAATTTTTGGTCACTCTCCCATGTATGAGAAGATGACAAAAAGGGGAGACTTGTTAAAGGGGCCATTAGACTGATGTGATGCTAATACTTTGGTGGTTTACCTAAGTAAACCGAAGGCTAAGCTGAAGTCAATTCCTGTGAATGCCTCAAGGTCAAGGAAAACAGCCTGTCACAACGGCCACCTGGGCTTTTCCAGATGATCCAACCTGCGTAAGCTGTAGCCAATCAGAAGTGTGCTGTGCTTCCTCATCTCTAAAAAACCTTGTCCCTAGCACCTGTCGGCGGAGCGCTCTTAACCGAGTCCAGTTTGGCACCGCCTGGCTTGATGTTTGGTCAAATAAAGTCTTAAAAAATTAAATGTGCCTCAGTTGATCTTTTAACAGTACATAGTGTTGGTGACGTTAAGTGGACATGGAGGCCCTCATATACTACTAGTGGAAATATACTTAGTATTTTAGTAAGAAACCTAGTGTCAGTTGGAGAATGGCATGAACACTCAGTTTGGACATGTAAAGATAAAAAAATTAGAATTGCTTCCTTCAGTCCAGGATCTCTGAAGTCAGCAAAGGACATAGGATCTATAAAAATATGACGGGTACAGGATGGATGTAGGAAGTGTCACATGGTCTCATGTTCTCTGGGACTCCAGTAAACAGCAACTAAATGACCTTACTGCTATTCTCTTATTTTCTAAAATTGGTGTCCTCAGAACTGAGGCTCATACCAGGAGGATTGGAACCGAGCATCAGGGAACTGCCTTGGCTGACCATGCACAGACAGCAGCAGCAGAAGCTGCGAGGTGGTGGCTTATGTGAATGAAGTCCTTCCTGCTTTTGGAAAAATCACCCCTTGTTGCCAGACTTTGCTTTTTGTCATCCTGAGGTCCTTGGGACATGGCAACAGTCATCTGAATCAAGGAATCGCAGTGGGCAAACAGTAGTTGTAAATTTAGTCAGGGCTATGGGAGGCCCGAGACGGGTGCTTGGTTCTCCCAAGCTGCCTGGCAAACCCCATCTTCTGGTTTTCCCATTTATTAACCCACAATGGTGCAGCCAAGATGACTCAATAAATAAATAAATATACGTGTGGAGACTTCTATAAATAATGTTGTGAAAACAGATTTCCACCTGTTATGTTCATACTCGTGGAAAAATTATTTTTGATTCCAGAGGCCTCAGCTCCTCCCAGTGAACCATTTGAGTACCTGCAACTGGACTTCATTCAACTGCCACCTAGAATGGGTCACCAATATGTTGTGTTTTTTCTAGATCTGTTGCAGCCTTCTCTTGCCGCAAGGCTGGCACCTTCACAGTGGCAAAGAAACTTGGAAAATGTGTTTCCCACTTGGGGTATACCCTCCACAATATCTAGTGACTGAAGCAGCCACTTCACGGAGAAAATAATATGAGCTTTAACTAAAACCTTGCAAACTTATTGGAATTACACTGCTTCTTATCACCCTCAATCATCAGGCAAGGTTGAAAGAACAAGGGGAATTCTTAAACTCCATCTCTAAAGTCAGTGAAACAACTGGACTTCCTTGGCCTAAAGTATTGCCTCTGGCCTTTCTCACTGTTAGACATTTAAATCTTTAAATTTGTGATTCAGAAATTGGGCAACATCCGGCCTAGCAGATAGACAGGAGCTCCAAAACACTGTACAAGGCAAGGGATTTTGTAGACAGAAGGGAGCAAAACCAAGGAATTTATACTAGCCAAAAAGGTGGATTGGTTATTGCAAGCTTACCTTCCTATATCAGATGAATGGCAGGCTGATTACCTAATGCTGACCAGGGAATTCCTGATTGATTTAAGATTTCATTTTGGGGAGACCCAGAGCTGTAACTAAATTAAGTGTCAATGCCCGGCCGGGCATGGCTCAGTGGTTGAGTGTCGACCTAGGATCCAGGCGATCGGGGTTCGATTCCTGGTCAGGGCACATGCCCGGGGTTGTGGGCTCGATCAATGACTCATCATTGATGTTCCTATCTTTCTCTCTCCCTCTCCTTTCCTCTCTCTGAAAATCAATAAAGATATATTTAAAAAATAAAAATAAATAAATAAAATAAATTAAATGTCAATTTGGTGACATGGGGCTTAGCATAAGCAACTCCATTTGGTGCCTATTGTCCTGTCTTTAAGAAGTCCTTCAAGAACTTCTGTTCTGGCCACCATGGCCAGAAGAATATACCTAAGGAACTAACAGTAAAGGTAGAACGAGATCCCTACTGTACAGGACAAGGCCTGACAAGCTAACCCGATAATTACCTCTCCCCCTGAGTTCCCACAGAAAGAACATTACCAGTCATGCTCCAGCCAAGCATAACTCCATTACTCCGTGCAAAACATTGTGTTTAAGTCATCCCCTTTGTGTTGCTAAAGGTCCCCCCTGTTTCTTGTCACAAAAGCTGACAACCCAACAAATTCTTGGAAAGCCACTTATCACAGTGCCTTTGTGGTTACTGAGTATAAAATGAGGAACAAACTAAGGGTCAGGGCTGCAGTTTGGCTCTTACATAGGTGAGACACTGCGACTATAGCTGCTGGCCAGCTAATAAAGGCTCCAAAATTCAAACACAAACTGGTGTCGTCTGTTGCTGGTCACCCGGTCTGTTGCTGGTCACCCCGGGACACTTCTTGATCAGCATTACTCAGGTAATTAACCCCTGCCATCCCCTATTAAGATTTAAAAATTTTTCTCAGTTGAATTTTGATCTTTAACAGGACAAAACAGCTGGAGGTGTGGGAAGGTAAAGTTTTATTGCCTGTGGCTGGGAACCAAAAGTACCCCC